GACGGAAGAGCGGGCCTGATGGCCCGAGTCTCTCCACGTAAAATAAGGCAAATTCAATTCAATTCAATCCCCCCTACTGATGTATCTATCTACTGTCGTTCTGTCAGAATAGTTTATTTGTTGTTCTTGATCAGTGTTCTGCATAACCATTTCGCGTGGTTCTGTTCAGCAGCAGTGTTGTCGCTGCAAGGCGCCAGTTAGTCTTAGCCTTGTTGTGTGCGCAGCGCGCGGTCTGTCGGTGCGGCGCGGCGCCTGCTCCAACCAGCCGGTGCCGGACTACTGCATGTTCTCGTTCGTGGTGTGGCGGCAGGTGTGCGGCGCCGACAACGTCACCTACAGCAGCCCCTGGGAGCTCATGTGCAACGCCCAGCGCACGCGCGTCCGTGAGTACTGCGCAGCTACGCCCACTCCAAGCATCTAATTTCTTTCTTTCTTTTTTCTTTACAAGGTGATTACACAACCATTCCTACTTTCACCCCTTTCTCCATCCACCTCCCCCTCCTACCAAATTCGATCCCTCATCTCCATACCTGACAACCACTTCCCCCGTCATGCCTCCACCGTGCCCCGCTATCTCTTCTCTCTTCTTAGTAGTCGTTGCCCGAATATTACACAGCCTTGCCCGCCCCGCAACCTAGTCCCTTTCCTCCAGCACGCTCTATTTGGCCACCTATGTGGCATCCTGTCTACTACTCCTTCCTCGTCCATCAAGCCCCGCCTGCTCTGTTTCTCCGTCTTATAACGCTTCGTCCATATCCCTCGCACTTTCTATTCGGCCAGCCATGGGCGTCTAGTCCTGTCTACTCCTTCCTCAACCATCAGGAACCGCCCGCTCTAATTGATTCTCCGACTTATAACGCTTCGTGTATATCCCTCACACTTTCTATTTGGCCAGCCATGGGCGTCTAGTCCTGTCTACTCTTTCCTCGCCCATCTGGAACCGCCCGCTGTGACTGATCCTCCGACTTATAATGCTTCGTCCATATCCCTCACACTTTCTATTCGGCCAGCCATGGGTCTTCTGCCTACAACTCTTTCCTCACCAATCAGGCACATTTCACTCTAATTGTTCCTCCCTCTTACAACGCTTGGTCCTTATCCTCCGCACGCCCTATCAGGCATGTTATGGTGCGCCCTATCTGTCCGCACGCCCAAACTGCCAAAACTTCCCACACGCCCATTCAATTCTTTCTGATCCATCTGTTTATTTTGCTCGTCACGTTCCTCCCGCTCCTTTCGCCTTTCCCCACGCACATTCCTTCCTAGCGATGAGAGCTTTATAATTGGTTTCAATAGAAATATCTTTACTCATAATCTGTCTCATACTTTTTTCAATCGGAACATACTGATATTACTGGAATTTTATGCAATCTGAATTCAATAATATTGAGATACGTAACCACATCAAAGCATTAGTGATATTTACAAATAATTCACATTTAATTCATCTTTGAATCATAATTTACCTACATCAATAACTATTAAAATTTTGAAAAGGAATAAACTGAATTTATTATTTTCTTAAAACGAATAATTTTGTTCGTTGATAATTTCAACTTCATTGCTGTTACGCAATCCACACTACGTTATGTGAAAGAATTGGTCAAAAGTCTGCCCACAATAATGAAGCATTCATTTATTAATATTGGACAGAAACGTAATAATCCCGAATGAATAAATTATCTTGATTGAATTTATATACATTCCATTCATATTTTATAAATTTCTTTCATTATTCCATCCAGTTCACCATTCATTCTTCATACTTCTACTCATTATATCAGCATAGTGAGCCGTTTGGTCAACGAAAAGTTTACAAATTCTTGAACTTTCTATTGTATATCCTCTTTCCTCCCCGTTTTCCCTCCTACTGAATCGAAATAAACCATTCTTCCTTACCTTCACTTACTTACTATGTTTTCTCTACGTCTGTTTACCCAGTCAATGCCTAAATATTTTTCAGCGTTTCGTCGAAGGCGTTTGGGGAAGGTTTTCGCCCTATTTCCTGTCGCGCAGCGGTTTGGACTAAAAGATCCGAGCGACCTCGCCTCATGAATGCTTGCGCGTCGTGGGCCCGTGACGTCACCGCCGGGGCACGCTC